GGCTAATTGGAAAAGCTGTTATCTTAATATTGTGGGAAAATCTTTTCTTATCAAATCTGTCCTCTCTACTCTTCCTAGCAATACTGTGCAAATTATGCTCTTACTGGACAACGTCTTGGCTGATTTGGACAAAATTTCAAGAACTTTCCTTTAGGATTCTTCAAATGGGAACAAAAAAACCTCATCTTCTATCTTGAGATTGCATTACCTCTGACAAAAAGGATGGAGGTCAGGGCATCAAGAAACTTAAGAATCATAACATTGCCTTTATCATGAAGCTTTGCTGAGGCCTAATCACAAGATCTAATTATCTCTAGATGTAGGTCTTACGTGACAAATACAAGTGTAATAAACCCACTATCCCTATGGTTGTTAAACCTAATTCTTACTCTTACACCTAAAGCAATATATGTAAAGTCTGTGATAAATTTATGTCTCAAGTTAGTTAGAAAATAGGTAAAGGTGACCAGATATCATTTTGGTATGAAAAATTGTCCCCCCTCCCTGAACCTCTTGTGAGGTATGCTTTTCATAATGCTGATTTTGTTTTCTATGCAAGAGTCTCGGATTTTTGCAACACCTCAGGCTGTTGGAATATTGATCTTTTAAAATGCTATCTCCATTATGATATCATTAGATAGATTGTACTTGTTTAGCCTTCTAACCATCAGGCTGATGAAGATGTTCTTTTTTGGAGGCCCTCCTCTGATGGTAATTTCTCTATTAAATCTGCCTACAAAGCTATAGAGTCTAGAAAGGATCAAAATCACTTTGATATCTGGTACAAGATTTGGAGATGACCCACCTATGAAAAAATTAAATATTTCCTCTAGAAAGCTACTTGGGATCGTCTCCAAACAAATGACACGAATACTAATGGGAATGGCTGTAACTCCACTGACTCTTCTATACATATTTTGCGTGATTGCAAGGAAGCTAAAGAGGTATGGAAAAGTTTAATAAATTCTACAAAACTTAATACCTTTTTCTCTTTTAATGGGTAGGATTGGATAACATGGAATGCCAAGAATGAAGCAAGCAGTTTGATTACTAGAAAAATTCCTTGGCAGAGATTTTTTGCTAAAGCATGTTGGAATATTTGGAAAACCAGATGCAGGAAGATATTCGCTAAAGGGGACACTCCTAAAAGCAACATTGGCTTCACCTATACTCAACGGATAATCAACGACCTCAAGCTCTAATCCAAGATCAACCAATTAAACAAAAGAGGCAATAGATTGGATGCTAAATAGAATCCCCCTGAACCTAATTAGGTAAGACTAGACATTGATGGCTCAGTCAATACCAATGGGGCTACTGCCTGTGGGGGCATAATTAGAGATGACAAAAGAAGTTGGATTAAGGGATTTTCGAATAACCTTGTGTAATACCCTAGCACATCAACTAAACTTTTGGGAATTTCAGAAGGTCTTAATCTTTGCTAGAATGAGAAGCTATCTAAAATCAACATTTACTTTGATTCCATGGAGGCTTTATTGCTTATTAATAATACCTACTATGATAACCATCCTCTCTTTGCAATCATAAAAAATATCAAGAATTTCATCATGAGCAATTGGGTAGTCACTTTTGACCATGTCTTTAGGAAAGCCAACCAATACACTAATTTTCTTAGTCATATGATTCTGCATCAACATTTTGATATTTGTATTTTTGATAACCCACCCCCTAATTGTATTAGCCTTATGGCTACAAACATGACTAGATATTAGTCTATTGTGCGGTTCTCCGTAGTCTTCTATTAAAAAAAATCATCTAAGAACTTTTAGAAAGTTTACTCGTATTGGTATTTTCAGTCAGCTCATGCGGTCTATCAATAGAGTCGATAATTTGGGCCAAGTCCGACGAGCCAGTCCGAATAAGCTTGAAAATTTAGGGCCAAACTCAAAAATAAAAATAATTTTTTAATGTTCCAGCCTATTCAGGCGGCTAGAATTGGCTTGAGAAAACTCGAGCCAAGCCAGATCAAGTTTAGGCTTGGCTCAAATATCCAAATAAAAAAATAAAACTTTTTAAAAATATAATAAATATTAATTAATTCTTTAAGCTTTATGTCATTTTATACTTAGAATATCATATATTTAAGTGCATTATCATAGTTATTTTTTAAAAAAACTAAAAAAATAAATATTTTCATAATTTTATTATTTTTAATTGATAAAATATCTCAAAATAATATTTAAAATATATTTTAATATTAATTTTTATATTTTAAGACCCATTTTCTTAAAAAAAAAGTTGAGTCCTATACATCATTTTTATATCTAAGAAAATATATTTTATATTTTTTATAAAATAACATAATTAATTCTAAAGTAAAAATAAAATTAAAAATAAAATTTGAGCACGTATAAATTCCTGATTCCACTACTACATAAATATAATAAATAGAACAATGTTCTTGAATAATCATTTGGTTATCGTCCACATAAAACATAGTTAAAAATTAAGAATAAATTAGAGTAAATACCCTTTATATGTAGGGTTTAAACAATATAAAAAGTTAAAGAAAAAAAATTCTAAAAAAATAGTATTTTAATCATAATTAAATATTTTTATTTTATATAATATAATGATGGCTATTTTTCTCATACTTAAAAATGAAAATTATAATTTACCTAAAAGTTATTAAAAACTTTAAACTAACAGGGGCAATGATTTTAAGTTAGTGGTCTAATCGTGATTAATTGAGATCAACTTGGTTACAATTAAAATATATAAAATATTTATATATGACCATAATAAGAGCAATATTTAAACAACTAAGACATTAATTTACAAGCAAAGAAAACATTCATAAATAAATTATGCAGAATACAATAAAATAGTAACAAAGCTACTTAAGTATAAAGTTAATAAGTTATTATTTTTTATTTTATTCTTTTAAAGTTAAAATAATATTTTATACTTAACAAAATTATTTAAAAATTAAAATTGGTTCAAAAAATAGAGAAAAAAATATTTTTCAAAAGTTTTAAGTATTTGGACTGGCCTGAATAAGCTTGAAGCCCGAAGGTGTTATGGTCAAACATGGCTATATAAGCTTTTTAAAAAGGTTATGATACTTTAAACTCGATCCGAATAAGTTCGGCTCAAATTAAACTTGATTCGAATAAGTCCGGCCAGTTCAAATTACCGGTTCTATCCTTTAGGGACATTTCTGTCTTTTTTGTCAACGTTCTTGTCTCTTGTTTTTTTTCAGTTCAGTTAATGCTAACTGGCTCTTGCTGCTGCTGCTGCTGGGTCAAGGGTGAAAGTTGTTTTGTTAATGTGTAATCTTTTTATTTATTTATATTAATTGACTATATTAAAAAATAATAATTCTAAGCTTACAATAAAAGAAGCAACAAATTGCTGATCGATAGACGTCCGTAGTACAAAAGTAATTTAGAAATATAAGTTTATTGAGTTGTTAATAGTCAGGTTCATAATTATGATAATACTGAAGGATTTAGTAATAGAACACACACACACAAAATCAATTAATTAAATAATGATTTAATTAATCAACCCAACTATTAAAAATATTTAAGGGAGTGAAGCAGAATATCATTGATACGAAGGGCGTAGCATGGGAAACTAATGATATTAATAATGTAATAATAAATGGATAATGTATAAACAATTATTGAGTAAAGTTTCTTAGATGAATCGAAAAATAATGTCTTCATTAGAGATTTTAACTACCTACCTTGTACTGTTTCTATCTTGTGTAATTATATATGATTATGTCAACTGCGACGGCGCCTTCTTCAGGTCTGTTTGAATTTTAATTGAAAAAAGTTAATTATAAAAAAAGTTAATTATTAGAAAGTGCTGATGTTTGAATAAATTTTTAAAAATTGATTTTAATAAAATTAAGAATGTTTGAATAATTTTTTTAGAATCAATTTTGAGTGAATAATTTTACTATTTAAAGTGGCAAGTCAATGGTTAGAATTAATTTTTTAAAATGAAATAAATTTAAGCTTATCATTTAAAAATCACATAGAGTTTGAAAAAATTGGGATATTTGAATAAAATTTTTTTAAAATCATAATTTTAAATACAAAATTAATTTTAAAAGGATATCCAAACAGCCTTCAAAGATACAAATACTGCAGCGATTGTTAGACATTTGTCATGGTCATGATGGTATAAATGAAAGGGAGAATGACGATTGAAGACCCTCTAAGGATATTAATTCCAATTAGAGATCCTGAAAAATAGAAATCCTAATTAAAGACCATGGTCTTTAAGTGGGATAAAAAATAAACTTGAGTTTACAAAACTGCCCCCTTACTAAACATTGAAAGGTAACAGGAAAGAAGCTCATCTCGTGTGCTCTGTTTTCTTGTTTTTCAGCGGGAAAAATACTGATGGAGTGTGCTCTCGTGCGTTGAAAATGTTAGGGAAAAATTAGTGGAGCATAATCGTCTTCTAATAGGTAATTGTATGCATTGCTTCTTTTACATTTCGTCCTCTACCATGCGTGAAAGAGAAGTTTGCATCTTCTTCTTCCATTTCTTTTCCATTGCTCTGTTTTTTTTTTTACACATGTCCTCTGTCATGCACGCACAGAAAGAATGTTTTAATCTTTGCAAATGCTATCTTGCACCATTTCTCTTTGTTTTATACCTAGAAAAAAAAGTAGTCTTCTTAATGATTATTAGACTTTATATATAGACATGCGGAAGAAATGATTTTCGAGAACGACACAGTTGAAAAAGTTGAGGAGTGAAAAACAAGGAAAATGTAACATGGATGCTGAATTTTTGTGATCTGTGTTGAAAAGTGCGTGAATGTTGAAAAATGTAACATGGATGCTGAATTTATGTAGTTAAGGTTGGGATTATGGAATGGACAGTTGTGAAGTACTAAATTTGTATGTTGCTTGTAGTTGTTCCAGGTTTATTTCCCATATAGCAAGTACTTCAATAAAAGAAGTATTTTGTTATCTTCATGTTGATGGACATTTTGTAAAAGATTTACAAGGGAAGATGACCTATGAAGGTAGGAGATTAATTTCTAAATTGATTAGAGAAGGCATAAATCTTGAAGAGCTGTTGAGGATGGTGTCATCAGTGACAGGAGTTGAAAGTGGTGCATCTGACTTAAAATTTACAGTGAAGTTTAGTGAAGACACATACATAGATTTGTTAGACGATGAGGGAGTACAACATTTGATAAAGTATAATGATGAGTCAGCACATGTGTATGTTGAGACAAATGATAGTGAAATAAATGGAGCAATGGATAACTTGATGGAGTAAGTTGTTATTCTTAGTTATTTGTGTGTTTAATTAGTTTAATGACCATTTATATTGACCTGTAAGTAATTGTAAATGTAGGATGGAGAATTTGTTAACATGGTCACTACCAGGATCTCCCTGTAGGCAAGAGCTTGAAAGTATATCACCCTCTTTGCCATGTTCAACACAAAATGCTCTTGCACTACTACCTGAGGTTAATTCGGTAAAATGGAAGGATTTATTTATGGGTGTTGGCCAGACATTTGATGATGCAATTGTATTCAAAAAAGCACTATATAAATACAGCCTTGCTCATAGGTTTGGTTACATATTTGTGAGAAACAGCCCTAAGAAGATGATTGTCAAATGCAATATTGATGGTTGTAAATGGAAGATATCAGCTTATGCTCTTGGGAAGACAACCTCTATATTGTGTGTGAAAAAATTCCACAATGAACACATGCACTCTGCTCAAGACAACCTCCTATTAAAGCAAAAGGCTAACTCAAGATTGACATCATCAATCATCATTGATGCTGTGAGGGGGAATATGGAGAAAACGTCAAATGAGATTAGACAAGACCTCTACAAAGAGTATGGGTTAAATCTCACATATCGACAAGCTTTGAAGGGAAAAGATAGAGCATTGGAGGAAATACATGGGCTTCCACAGCAGTCATACATGTTGATTCCATGGCTTTGTGAGAAATTGAAGGAGACGGACCCAGACACAGTTGTAAAGTGGGTTGCCTCGACAAATTATAGATTTGATAGACTTTTTATTGCATATGGATGCTGCATCAAAGGGTTTCTCCAAGGTGCTCGTCCAATTTTGTTTATCGATGGAAGTCATTTAAGCGGTCCATATAAGGGGACTTTGCTAGCAGCTTCTGCAATTGATGCAAATAATGACTTATTTCCTTTGGCTTATGCAATAGTGGGTGGAGAAACATATGATAATTGGGCTTGGTTTCTTGAAAATGTGAGAGAGATCACACACCAAGTTCAATTGACCATAGTGTCAGAAGGCATAATGCTATTGTTGGTGCAGTGCGTGCAATATTTGATGGCAATCGACATGCTTTTTGTTATCGTCATGTCAAAGAAAATTACAGCTCAGAATTTACAAAAATTAATAGAGGCATGCGAAGGATTGATGGGATGACCAAGGAAGATGCACTTAAGTTGTTGGATAATATTGCATATGCAAGGTTGGAAACAGAATTTCATGTTGCTATGGGTCATTTGATGGTTTTCTCCCCACAGTTGGCAAGATGGTTAGAAATAAATGGGGACATAAATCGTTGGGCGTTAGCAAGATTTTCATACAAAAGATGGGACAATATAACATCAAACCATGCTGAATCTTTCAATGCTTGGTTAGTGAAAGAGAGAAAACATCATATATGTGCGATGATAAATAAGCACCGAGCAAAATTAGCGAGGAAGCTATACAATAGCAAAATAGAAATGGCGAATTGGTCAAACGGAGTTGGACCACGTGTTGAGGCAAAATTGAGGGAGAATGTATTGAGAGCTGAAGTTATGGTGGCTGAACATTATAGTGTGAATATGATACTAGTGAAGGTAGGAAACAATGACTTGAGAGTGAATCTAACATTGCGAGAATGCTCTTGTTAAGAATGGCAAATGGTAGGAATTCCTTATGCACATGCATGTGCAGCAATAAAATTAGTTCAGGGTAATGTGTATTCATATGTTGAAGAATGCTACACTATTCGTGCACAAGAAAAAATTTACAGCTCCACAATGATTCCAGTGGAAACCATTGACATGCCTCAGTTGACCGAGCTACATTATGAAGATTATGAAAAGAATACCTTTTTGGAACCACCACTGACTACACGTCCCCCAGGGCGACCACCTACCAAGCAAAGAGAGTCACAGTTTCAGAATAAAAAAGTGTATCATTGCTCAAGATGTAATCAAGCTGGACATACCAAGAATAGATGTAGGAATCCCAATCTAATGTAGGGATTGAAAGGGGGTGAAAACCATATGCATATTAGTTAGTTTAAAATTGAAATGCATATGGTTTTTATTTATTTTGTGCATTTTGCTGTTGAATGACCTTTTGTACAGGCAGCCACCTCATATGTTTTTTGTACTTGTGGAGGTGATAGGTTATGTAAATGGGATTGCAGTCTATGTTTTTTTTTAAGGACTGCATAGGTACCATTTAGGTAGCTGGGATATTTTTTGGGTAAAAAGGGATGCAAATATGGTGTACATGTATTGCAATTAGTGTAATATAAAGCTGATGAAAATTTCAGGTCTAAATTTGTTCGAGTAAAAATGTTGTCATGGCATAAGACTGTTGAATTCACTAACGTAGTAAGGGATATTGCTAATGTAACTTCTGACAACATAGAACCTTACTTGGGATTAAAATTTTCTACAGTATTTCAGACAATTAAGAGACTTGTCAGATAATAAATCAATAACGTTGGTTGGCAATTTCATATCCAAAGCAAGAAAAATTCCTACCATAATTTGTGAAATGAATAACCCCACTTAGGTGTCATTGTTTATCAGAAGATACCTGTCAGAAATCGGGATCCGGTAACCTTACCTGAGAATTCCCTAACCTGAGTTAGAAAAGTAGCTAACGTATAATGTGAAATGTCCTAACATGACTTGGGAACTCTTTTTTTGTAAGTCTTGCCACAGATTGGGTTTCAAAAACCGCAGTTGGAAATTCCCTAACCTACCTTGGAAACATAACTAACGTATGTTGTGAACGTGCCTAAAGTGACTTGGGAATTCATTGTTAAAGGATAAGTATTGCCACAAGTTGGGTTCCAACAAAGTCAATTGGGAATGGCCTAACCTAAATTGGGAAAAAGTTGAACGCATGTTTTGAAAGAGCCTAATGTGACTTGGGAATTGACTGCGTAAGGATAAGCCATTTGGCACAAGTTTTGTTTCAGCAACCTCACATGAGAATTTGGTAACTTAAGTTGGAAAAGTAACTAACATATGTTGTCAAAGTTCCTAATGTGACTTGGAAATTTATTATTTGATGAAAACCGACGTGGCACAAGTTGGGTTCTAGCAAAGTCTCTTGCGAATGTCCTAACCTAACTTGGAAAAAAGCTGCATGTATGTTTTGAAAGAGCCTAACGTGAATTGGGACTTCATTATGTAAGGATAAGCTGCTAGGCACAATTTGTGTTCCACCAACCTCACTTGAAAATTCGTAACATATATTGTGAAAAACTAACGTCAGTTTTGAAAGTAACGTGAGTCAATGAAAATCAATAACAGTTTGTCAAATTTGTTGAACATGTAGTCAAATTTTTTTTTAAATTAATTGCTGTATCATATACAAGAAGCCACGAAAAAAAACTTAATTACATAAAGGTTTAATTTACATATCACAAATGTCTACACTATGATTTCAATCTTTTGGATCGTGCATGCCCAGCATTCGAAATGGATGTCATGACTTGAGAGCCCACTCTGTTGTGTGGATGAGTCACCAACCAATACAATACCTCACTCCTCATTTCACTCAATTGTTCCTACACAATCACATAAAGTCAACTCACAAGATAGAAAACTGTCACACATAACAAATTATATCTTAGCTTTAACATTTGTTCCTACCATTGTTAGAGGAGGCATAGTAAGGCCGCCCCATTCCTCTCGTGCAGTATTATTCCACTGTCTAAGGCAAAAGATGACATACATTCCACAATCAGATCTACAAAAAATATGAAATCTGTCAGCACGTAGTTGGGAAATATATACTTAATTACATGTACACAATTTCAGCTTTTTTACTCACGTCGTCGGTTGCTGTTCCATAGGCACCACTTTCAACTCAAGGTCATAATTGTCATCAACAAGTTCAGGTTTCAGTTTCATTAATATTTCTACAAACCTGCTTTTCTGAGAATAAGAACAAAGTGAATGAGAAGCTTTCACTAACAAAATTTTATATATCATTATATGGGAAAAGGCATACCATAAAATATGCCATTTTTTCCTTCTCTTTCGGCAACATCGCTTCCTTCGCTTTCTTTATATTCTTCTTTTTCTTCTTTGATTCTTTACCAGATGGTAGCATCGAGTCCAGCACATACATTGTGATTGTTTTTGGCTCCACAATATAGCAAAACCAATGCAATGCAAACACTATAGGGAAAAAAATAAAATCGCAATCTCTTATGTTATACCCGATAGTAGTTGGCATGAAGTCCTTCAAATGGCTATCCAAGTCCCATCTTTTTTGTTGGTGGATTATGGTTCCCTGAAATGAAAAAATGTAACACTTGTAACTTGTAAGCACCTAATAAAACAAAGGAATTAAACTAAGACAAACCGTAAAATCTGGATCAAAAATGTGTCGCCGCACAAGTTGATCCTTTTCCTTTTGCTCATTGACCAAAAGTCTTCCAATTAATGTAACAACCTACATAACAAAATTATAGTTACATTAAAATTTTACTATAACTTGATCTATTTTAACTAGCACACTTGCTCACCGAACTACTGATCCATTGTCTAGGACCTAGGCACTTGCATTCATATCTTGTCACATAATACTGCTCAATCTCCACAATTTTCCTGTTACAGAAAACAAAATTATATCAACCAATCGATTATGAATGCATGAACTAGTAAGGTTGAATATCATACTCATGTCCCTCATTGGGTGGAATAGACTTTGTACAGTATTGGTAAACTTCTTTCTCTGTACATTGTCCTCTTTCTTCATGTCCTCTTTTTGCCTTCCCTCTATCATCCAAAAAGGGTGAACGAATAGTGCTGACTATTTGTCGTTGTGACCGTCTTAGTGTCCTTTCACCCTTAGAGTCTTTTTTTCTAATTAGCTTTTCTACTTCTTCTTGTGCACCCAATTCTCCCTCCTTTTCATTTTTATCTCCTTCTAATTGTCCTTCCTCTTCTTCTTTTTCATCTTCTCTGGATCCCCTTCCTCTTTATTTTCATCTCCTTCTACTTGTCCTTCCTCTTCCTCCTTCTCATCTTCTTCGAATTCTCCCTCCTTTTCATTTTCATCTCCTGTCTCTTCTCCTTCCTCTTCTTTGTCATCATGTTCCAACTCTTCCTCCTCTTCCTCTTCACCATCATGCTGTTCAACAACTTCCTCTCCTCTTCTTTTATCTTGGAGCTTGAGGAGTCTTTGTGCAATTCCACGTGTAAAGGTCACAATATCTCTGTATACCTCTTTTATGTCCTGCACCATATAAAATGTCATATGTTTAAAATTATATAAAAAAATAACTTTGCTAATTAACAACCATCATTTTGCCCTTACCGGATCATAAAAGGAAGTCATTTCTGGAAGCTCTACTGAGAAGCTGTCATGTCCTCGAGAAGGGTGATACAAAATGCCATGATCACTTGCCTTCTCAAGTTGAACTCGTGCTGTCACTCTCTCCTCTGTCCAATGTTCCAAAGCATCTTCTTGCGATGACACCTCAATTGGCTCCAATGGAAACATTTGAAAGTAGAAAATCTGCATATTTACATCTATATCATATAACCCACAGAATTTTGCAAAATAATTAACTTATAACAAATTATATCTTAATTTACCCACATACCGCAAGAAGAAATAAGCATCCTCCAACAGTTTTTTTGTGCCCATCCTTCTTCTCCCATGCTTTATATTCGGCTACCTCCTTTCCAAGCTCAGATAGTATAAAAGATGACCAATCATAATGTACAGTTCCCAAATTTAACCCGGACATGACTTTCAATAGTTTATCACTTATTTTGGAACTCGAACTTGGACAAAGAAAATTCCCTAAGCAATAGAGAATGAAGAGAAACTCAAATTTATCTTTTCTTTCCCCGAGAGTATCCTGTCCTTAATTACATTATAGGATACTTTTTTAAACTCCTTGTTTAACAACTTTAATTTATTCTTATCCCCATTCATTCAACTATCTCCCCATCATTAGGCAAGCCAAGTAAGGCATGAACTGCTTTGCCATTGATGACTTTCCTTTGACCTCTAATGAAAAGGGATGATGTAGGAGGATCAAATGCCTTCATCACTTCATCGCATAAATCTCTAGGCAACTTGTGACATTTAATATTTAAAAGCTTACCAAATCCTATTCTATTAACCCTATCCCTCAAAGATTTTTGCTTTTTTATATAATCAAAAACTTCCTTCATCTTTGTCGGAGAACACCTTGTCTCAAATGGAATCTGTCCAAGTAAAACAAGTCAGCACCATTACTTGAATTCATCACATTTTTCATGCTTGAGGTCAAAAACAACATACCTCATAAGCTTTTATACCAGCGTTTTCCTCCTTAGCCAGACACTTATAGTGATCTTGTTCTTCTGATGTCAACTTTTTCCATGCTGCAACTGCTTCTGCGTTGAGTTTTTTCAAATCATTTCCCTGGGTTGTATACTTGCCACGATATGCCTCTTTGAACTTGCTTAAACCAGAACAACTTTTTTGCCTTAAAGGATTTCCTTTTGTTTTAGCCATTATCCTGCACATTAACAATTAGGGTAAAAAACAAACTACTATCGAATGTATCTAACGTCACCAATGAATAACAAAATAATACTATTAGATTTACCAAACATGAAATCTGAATTTTCTCCATAGAACATGCGAGGGTCAGGAAAAGTCATAGTCACAGCCTCCCTAACTTCGCTAATTTTTTGGTCAAGATTGCATTCGTCTTTTACACAAGCAAATTTTCAAGTCGGAAGAACCTTGCCAAACTTTTATTTTATGAGGACATTATAAGAGCTTTAATGTCAAATTAAGACTTTTCAACATTGATGTTTCTAAATTTCAGTACTCTTCAACCATGTTTCAATACTAAAATTCCTTATTTGGCATTAATGTTATTACAAGCTCTTTATTTGTCATTCTCCTTATTTTTAACTATTTTATTAGTCTATAATATCTTATCGACCTTTCTGCTACAATCTATATTTATGTTTTTCTTCTATTATGAAAAGGAAAGCTTTTC